TGCCGAAGCAGCAATGCCGTTTTATAGAACTTGCTTTGCTCTATCGAATGGTTTCTCTCTCAGGTGTACATGCATAGGTTTCGAAAAATAGCAGATCTAGTAAACTCCGAAAACTTTCATGCCTACCTAATTGTAAGCGTGGTATAGAGAATTGCTACGCAAATGGATAGCATGCATTCTAATAAGTGTAGTAGAGCCACGAACGATCTTTCGCATCAGATAAAGGACTACTATAGCAATGTCGAAAAATTATCAAGACAATGAGACATCTACGACAAGAAAGCATTAGTTATCAAACAGAACAAACAAAGTCAAGGGTTTTCGAGATTCTAGAATAAATCTTGCACTTGACGGAACAAACGTCGCTACTGTACATCTCCCTTTCTTTTTCACTATTGGTTTTGAGACAAAATTATATAGATAACCGTCAATCACCTCCCTGATAATGTTATACAAAAATAGCCGCTTGTTTGTGAGTCCATATGATTTGACAGGTATGATTCTCGAACCAATCAAGAGAATGTCAAATTCTGTTGAGGCAAAGTTTATGTATTGACTTTACAATGGCAGCAGTTTTCTTGCGTGATAAATTCGGAAGTGAAACATCTTCAAATTTATGGGAAAGGAAGAAGTGAGATACGGTACGTACCGCAAAGCGACAGATATCCCACAAAAACTGCGTAGGAGCATTGGTCTTCAGCGCGCGGGGATTGCAGTGAGATCCCGATACCTTGAATAGCAGGAAAACTTAAATGTAATTTACGAAACAAACGAAACTTGTAGAAAAGAAATTCACCTTATATCCGGCGTTGAGAATGGCTGATTTCACGCTTATTGCCTTGGGTACAGAGCATTTGACTACATTGAAAAGCTGGTCGTGCTCGTAATACAGCGGCACCTCGAGCTCCTAAGAGACAGGTTGTGATACCGTCCACATCGCCCTAGTAGCGCAGAAAAATTACCTCAGCCACGTTTGTGAGAACACCCAATAGACGATTATGTGTGCCCAGCCTCTCTTCTTCAGAAGTTTCTTTGAGACTGAAAAGTTTTTATGCAAGGTACGTCAGGTGAGATATGGAAAGGAGAAATGAGTTGATAAGAATGAAGATGAAGGATAAAACGAGAAAAACAAGAGCAAGAGAAAGGGAGGGAGGAAGGTGTCAAAACACAGAAATAGCTCTTTTGTAAATTCTGTGAAGTTCATACGAGATGGTCATTTGTTTAGAAGCTACTCTATGAATCACCTGTTTAGGATTCCTTCCACGAAATGTCGATTATGTATAGGACCAATGTATATGGGACCCACATGATGAACGGAGTGACCACAATGGATGCATCTGTTGTCTGCTCCTGAAAACATCCAGCACCTCACTTTTGCGAAAACAAGAGCTGTAATCTCTTTGTAAAGCACAGGACTGTCTCTACAAGTAGAATCCAGAGCCTAATTTTGACAGATTCGGCTTGGTTTCACTTTTTCATATTCCAGAATGCTAAACGTAGGCATTTATTACGTA